AAAAAAATTTTTTTTTTTTTTTTTTTTTTTTGCTCACATTTTAACGCTTTAAAAATGGCATTAAGAAGAAGCAGTAGAAGAAGAGGAAGAAAACTCAGCTAATTAAGTTGATTTACTATAAATGCACGAATACAAACAAACAGACACAGCCGCAGACACATACGCACACATTTGTGCAGACAAAACGCAATCAGTCACGCAAAGAAATAGATGCGCACAGACAAACACGCAGACATCAGAACAATATAAAATTGCACTGACGCGCACACATACACAGAAATAAATACACATACACATTGAAACGGATATATATAGAGACAGACACACAGACACAGCAACAGTTGTATTACCGCGCGAAAGAAAGATACTGTGCGTCCAACGGGTAAAATTTGCCAAATAAAAAGCAAGTAAAAAAAGACTAGCCGATATCCGTGCTGTAGACAGTGTTATCGATCATAGAAAAAATGGCAATGAGGATAACCAAATCCATATTTTTCGGCAACATAAAATGCACGTATTACCGTAGACGACAGCAGTGCTAAACCAATTTGAGTAGGAAAAAATTTGTTGGATGCGTATAGAGGAAACAATAAATGGATTTGTTTGACCTTTCCGTTTTTGCCTTATTTTTACTGCCCAGTATATAGAATCAAGTAGAATTAATTGTTATTGGAAAAGAAGAGAAAGCAAAAATCAAAAGTGAAGTGGGTAAATCCTGTGGTCGTCAATTGTCTTTCATCATATCCTGTTCTTCCCCCACCACCCCCCATCTTTCCCTTCTTCCTCCCGTTTTCTCCACCCTCTTTTCACCACTAAATAATAGCTTCTTTTCCTTTTTTTCTCCTTTTTTTTTTTTTTTGATCTCAAACGTTTTTAAACAGAAATATACAAACAAATTTATGTCATATTGATAACTGTTTTTGAAAAAAATGGAAAACTAATTAAAACATATTGTTTGATGAAAAAATGATTGAAAAAAATAATCAATTGATGTAAATAACAGTTATACAAGAAATTGTTTCTATGTTCAACATCGTCATTTAATATCCAAATAGCAGTTAGAGAGAAAAAAAAAAAGAAAAAATATTCTATTCTTCTTCTTCTTCTTCTTCTTCTTCTTCCATTTTCCTCTTTTACTTTACTAATGATTATTGGAAAACGTAATAACTGGATGGATTTCCGGTAATTTAAAAAGTAAAGAAAAAATTTTTTTTGACTTTATCCTAACAATCAAAAAGCAAAAAATTAAGGGAACCAAACAACAACATCAAAAACATAAAAGTACAACAAAGCATATTAACCTTGAAAGAAAACAAAAATGCCAAAACTCACCAAGCAGTTTAGTGTGTTATTTGTGCAAAAAAAAAAAAATGAAAAATAAAAACAAATACACAATTTTTTTTTGATGAACAAATAGGCAGAAATTAAAATAGCCATGAAAAAAATTTTTTGCGAAGAAAAAAAACAATAACAAAAAACTTTGAATCATTTAAGACTGAAAAATTTACTTCCCCATTTTTTTTTCATCATCATCAAACAGCTTCTCCGTAAATTTACATGTCACTCCTCCTTCACCAGGCAAAACAAAAAATAAAAAAAAAAATGACAATTCATCAACAACGGATATTGATTTAACAGAAGAATTTCCTCAATTTTTTTTAATAATATAAACATTTATGTTTTTTTTTCATTACTAAATTCATAAAGTTTTATCTGGCATTGGTCTGCTTTATCTGACCACACCGAACAGACAGCAAAAACACAAAAGAAACAGCGTTCAGACAAACCTCTGGAAATATAGTCAAGTATAAATCTTGAAAGTCAGACTAAAGTTTGGCTCGTTTCACAGCAAAAAAACTTGAAGCCAAATTTTTAGACTGTTTTTTTTCTAATTTTTTATTCTTTGAACTTAAGTAGCCTTAAAAAAAGTTTCTTTTTTGTCAAACTCTTTGACTACATCCGTTGAGAAATGCTTTGATTTGAGATGATAGAATCAGTACATTTATCTGCGAATCTGAA